AAAAAAAAAAAAAAAAAGAGATATAAATTGTAATAGGAAACAATCTCTAAATGTGAAACTGAATAGAGCTTCAGTCTGGCTCTCTAATAGGACAAAAGCCAGTCCATGTGTTGTCTCTACCTGATTTAGCTTTTTCTTTTCTTTGAACAATTCGGCATGAATTGAAACCAGGTTTTCCTGTGGAAAGTTATAGCTTGATTGGGGGATAGAAGTTGAATTGAGTTCTTTCTTGAAACTCTTAGTGTTTATTTTTATATTATATCTCAAGACGAGGATATCTTCAGTTTGAATCTGCATAATGTTCACTGCCAAACTCCTTCTCATTTAATGCTTATGGCCTTCACATTTCTGTATAATAAAGATCAGTTATCAGCTCTCTGGTCTCTCTGTGCACAATTTTATAACTTAATTTGTTTTAATTGGAAATAAGGACTTTCTATACAAGGCTAATAATTGCCTCCCCCTTTACACTAGCATACCAGCCTGTTTTATCCTATGTAGAAAATGAAGGATACAAAGCCAATTGTAACATACTTAGACTGAGGGGCAGGACACGTCAAAGCTGACCAGATGAACACCAGCTAATGCTATAAAGCCTAAATAGTGTCTCCATCTCAATCAAAATAAATTAACCAATTATACCATTATTACCATGAAGAGAATGAATACAATCTGTCCTACTAATACTTGCAAATGACACCTGAATTTAGGAGCTGAAAGTCTTAAGTTCCAAATGTCAGTGACATGCCTGACTATAACAGAGTTAACATGTAAAAAATGTAAGTGTGCTTATAATTGGCTTATTGTTCTCCCTTTCTTTATCTATAGCACAAGGGACAGTAATACATTTGTTTACTAGGATTGTTTATACTTTTCTAATATTTTTATTTAAGACAAAGTACTGTTTCCATAAGTCATGCTTTATACAATGTTTCTCAAAGTATATTGCAAAGACAATTGCACCAAAACGTATGTGTGAGATAGGAGGGTACCTTGCTAAAATGCAGATCCTAGTAAATCAGTCTCTGGAGTTAGGAGGAAGCTGCATTTTAAAGAAATTCTCAGCCAGGCATGATGGCTCATGCCTGTAATCCCAGCACTTTGGGAGGCCGCGGTGGGTGGATCATCTGAAGTCAGGAGTTCAAGACCAGCCTGGCCAACACGGTGAAACCCCATCTCTACTAAAAATACACAATAAGCCGGGTGTGGTGGCGCACTCCTGTAATCCCAGCTACTTGGGAGGCTGAGGCAGGAGAATTACTTGAATCTGGGAGGCGGAGGTTGCAGTGAGCCGAGATCGCGCCTGTACACTCCAACCTGGGCAATAGAGCAAGACTCTGCCTCAAAGAAAAAGAACCTCTCTAAAAGCTTGCATGTTAAAATTTGAGAATGCCACTCTATATCTTATTGTCTATAATTCATTCATCAAAAACTATTGAGTACTTACAAATTGATGGGCACTTGCTAGGCACTGACAATAAAACATTGCATAGGGCACCATTCTAGCTCCCAAGAATGCACATTTATGTGGGCAAACAATTTGTGACAAATGCTCAAATAGAAGTATAAACATAATATTTGGAAGCACAAATAAATAGTATTCTCCATGGGAATGTTAGGGAAGACTTTGAGGTGTTGTATTTCTTTATTATGGTTATCATATATTGAGCACTTTTGTTGTGAGGTAGGTACTATGCTAACTGCTTTGTATATTATCTCATTTATTACAACACTGAAAAAAAAACTTTACAATGTTCTTTTAAAGAAAACTCAGGTGGCCGGGCGCAGTGGCTCACACCTGCATTCCCAGCACTTTGGGAGGCTGAAGCGGGTGGATCACCCGAGGTCAGGAGTTCGAGACCACCCTGGCCAACATGGTGACTCCCCATCTCTATTAAAAATACAAAAATTAGCCCAGTATGGTGGCACATGCCTGTA